TTGAGTCCCCATCCCTGGAGGTATTTAAAAGACGAGTAGATGAGGCACTTAGGGACATGGTTTAGTGGACATGGTGGTGTTGGGTTGACGGTTGGACTCGATGATCTTAGAGGTCTTTTCCAACCTCAAAGATTCTATGATTCCTACCCGTTATTTTAAAGCTCATCAACACATAGGCAAGGGCAGATTATTTTGCAAGTAAAAGGTGAGCTCAAACTATTTCTGCTGAAGTCACCAGGAGCTTCAGATACTCAGTACTCTAATTATTAAAAACTCCTGCAAAAAATAAGTCCCAAAACACAGATTCCATATGCAGACATCTTTCTTTATCTCACATCAACTGAAAAATGTTTTTAAAAAAATCTTTTTTTGGTATGTGCCTGTAAGCTGTTTGGAGGCAGGGAAGGGACCCTTTAGTTTACTCACGCAATAATAAACTAGTTGTCATGCATATTTATGCCTGTGATTCAAGTAATCATATAAAGAATAAAAATATGCCGTACCTTGTAATGGTAATATTTTCACACCAAATTCTTCAAGGTAGCCGAGAGCACGAATGAGATCTAGCTCCTCCTGAATAGCACTCGGACAGTCTACAATAAGTTGGAGACAGCACCTAAATAGGAAGGAAGCAAATTTTTCTAGAAATTACTGAATAAATTCAGAGTTAAACTTCTAGAAAAAGTTCACCTGTGAGGGAAAAAAAGAAAAAAAACAAAAAAACCAGTAATTTAACATGCTTATGAAATGTCAAAATACTCACTAGTCCTGTAACACACATTGTTAAGTGTTTGGCACTGTATCTCTGTTATGGCTAGCTAAACATTTTAACGAAATTCTATTCTTGGACTGCCAGAGTCTTCTTCACCTAGTTGTGATAAGAACATCATGTAAACCATTTCGAATTTAGACCTGCAAAGAATTTAATGAAAGATGTTGAAGACATAGGTACTTAAGTATGTAACTATTTAGGGAAAAATTTCTTGTATCACTATTGTGTTTTGGTGTTGCCATATACTAGAAGATAAAAGCAAAATTCTGTAAAAAGTTGATTGGGAGTGAAATGTTAGAGCCATTGTCACAAATTCAGTTTCCTCAACTAGGTTCAGCAAATGAAAACAAAGCTGATTAAAACCCACAAAATTACTCTGAAGATGAATTAATGCATACAATTATTAATAACACATTATTTTAAATAAACTTTTTATTATTCATATGTTTTATGAATATTATACTGACATAATCAGCTTTTAGATAATTTTTTTAAATAAAACTTGCATTCTGGTACAGTGTGTTCATATGTAGTTTTATTAATACATGTTTAACAAAAAATTCACATGCAAAATAGCCTCAATGATTTAAAATGGCTTTAATTCATCATGCACATTAAATCAGGGAAGTATTTTATTTGTGCAATTTGTCATATGGCTTTTATTTCTACATGTTAATTAAGAAATAGACATGTTTACATAAAAAATAAAATTGTATGTTAGCTACATTCCCATCTGAACCCGTCACATTTTTCAGGAGCACTGACAAACATTTCAGGGTGAAATGGAGATTGAAACAGGAGTGGAAGGAAAGAGAACTAGCTAAAGAGAAGATAAATACATTCCGCCTAAAACAACTCATACAGGAAGGTTACTAGGACACCTACACACTGTGATAACCATTCACGGAAATAAGTTACCATGAAACAACTGACTGGAGAATCAGAGAAGTCAGAGAAGGACCAAAAAAAATCTTCGTAAACAGAATAAACACACGGACACACATTCATATCAAGTATTTGAGCTATAAACTGCATATTTTGAAATATCACCATAAAACCATAAGATAAAAGTTGATCATGGGACCCTTATGAGATATTAAAAACAATGACACTTTGTAGTTCCAGAGCCTGCTAATGGAAAAGACGCTCCATTTTATTAGTAAATAAACCCCAATTTTATGACGACATTAAATCAGCTTTTCATAGTGATTACAGAATCACAGAATAGTTTGGGTTGGAAGGGACCTCTAAAGGTCATCTAGTCCAACCCCCCTGCAATAAGCAGGGACATCTTCCACTAGATCAGGTTGCTCAGAGCCCCCTCCAACCTGACCTTGAAGGTTTCCAGGGATGGGGCATCCACCACCTCTCGGGGCAACCTGTGCCA